CGGGGTGCGGTCGTGGGCGGCCCAGCCGGGCCCGGGAACGCCAGTAGCGCCGCGGCCCCCGACGACGTCCCGGCGCTCCAGCGGTGAGGGCGCAGACCGGGTGTGACCCGAGTGCCACGGGGCGCACCAAGGGCCGAGCACGGGTGACAGCAGGGCCGCAACGCCCCGGGGTCTGGGCGCGTCCATTCTCCGCGTCCGGTCGACGTGAACGTCAGTGGTCGTGTTAAAAGTAATGGATCTCTCCCCTGCCCGCGGGACGTGGGGACTGCGAAGACCAGCCCTGGAGAGTGTGCACCCGCCCCTCCCTCTTCCCCTCCCCCTTTGACCCAGAACAGCTGAGGCTGTGGGCAGGATGCACTGGCCGGAGGTTGGCGGCCTGCCGGGGTCAGCAGGCCCTCCTTGTCCCTCACAAGACCTCACTTTGGCCCCACTTGCTCGATCAAGCGGAAGACAGTCAGGGACCCAGCGGCTCGTTCCCTGAGCCCTTGGGATGGGGCCAGGCTGATGGCAGGCCCATGCTCACCTATCGGTGTGTGTCAGGACTCCTGGGCCATGCTGAAAATTCTGACACAGTGGGAGCCCTGCAGAGGAGTTGCCTGGACAGTGGGGTCAGGAACTCACAGTCTGTTTCTCAGCCAGGCCCAGCAAGCTCCCAGTTGTTTCTGAATTCCTGGTCAGGGTTGGGTGCAAAGGGCAGAGCTCCAGAAACCAGCTCAGAAGTTTGCATGGGGCCCCCATGTACCAGCTGTACAGTCCCAAGCTTCTCCTCCCTGGTCCTGCAGCCTGGGCCCCTAAGCCGTGCAGCCCCTAAGGGTGCAGGGTGCATAGGCAGAGCAGCGACTCTGCTCTCCTGCAGCACAGTCTCATGTGCCATCATTTCCTGAGGCTGAGCATGTCATGGCTGACTTTTGTTTGTGCCTCATGACAACCCTCAGTGTGGTTGCCTTTACTGTGCAGATAAAGGTACCAAGGCAGGTGGTCAAATCCAGTCCTTGAGCTCCCCGAGGCTGACCTCACCACATAACTATTTGTCTTCTCCTATTCAGATGCTTAATGTTTTTCTTTCCCATTACAGCTTTCCAGAAGGATGGGCCAAAAAAAGCAGCGACTGGCAGAGGCAGAGCAGCCACAGGGCCCATCATATGCTGCCTGGATACCTTCCCCCAAGGAGCCCCACATGGGACCACTTGTGACCCCAGACCCTCACTGCAGTATCTATTTCTCAAACTCAAAGGACCAGCTTACCCGACTGGGGTCAGAGTTTTTCGACCAGCCAGCAGTTCCCCTGGCCCGGGCATTTCTGGGACAGGTAATGTAAACATGGCATCCCCCTGGCCTGGGCATTTCTGGTACAGGTAATGTAAACATGGCAACATGGTCTCTCCTGAAGTGCTGGTCAGCATGCAGGCATCGCTGGGTCCCAGCGAGCTCTGCTGGGCTCACATCCCTCACTTGTCCCTCAGATGACCCTCCTTGTCCTCATGCAGTCAGCTGCTTTGCTCACATCAGTCCCTGGATGACTTCCTCTCAGTTGTCTGGGGTCATTAGGGAGGAACGTGGAAATTGCCAGTGCTGTTTACCAGGGTGGAGGCCAGGGTGCCACCATCTGCCTGCCTATAGTGCACATCAAAGTCCAAAGCAGTTGCACTGTTAGCCTTCCTTACCTGGGAAATAAGAGTGTTATCTCTGTTCTACCTGGGCTCTCCCTCACAGTGTTTAGACATGTGGGAACCATTGCTGTGGCCAGTGTTGGGCTATCCAGCACTGGAACCACTGGAAAGCTGCCCCTTTCCCACTATAGCAGCTCACAATGCAGTGCTGGCTTCCCAGGTCCCTGCAACTCAGCACAGGTCCAGGATCTGGGCTCTGCCAATCAGATTTGGAGTGGAAAGCAGGAATCACTCATGGCCCACGCTGGTGGGAGCTGCAGTGCAGCCTGTCCCCACGCATGAATGTTCCCATAGCTGTGGCATACAAATCAGTCTAGAGTGCTGACTGGGTGTTGGTCCTGTGTGCCAAAGCTCTGGGCCTGGCTTTTGGTTCTCCTAGAGCCTCCAGGGTCTACCCTTTTAACAAGCCTGCTTTTAGGTTAAAATGGCCAAGGAGGGCTAGTTTCTGTAATAGAATCTAAGCAAAACCAGTGCCAGGAGTTGGGTGCTGAGTTGGTCTTCACTTACTGGAGAAGGAATGCTTTCAGCTGCAAGAGCCAGAGGGTCCTTCTAAAAGCACCTTAAATAATAGGCATTTATGATATGACAAAATGACATGAGCAGGTGTGTCGAGGATCACCTGTGTCAAGGACCCAGGGTGGTGTCAGGGATGACAATACGTGTCTCTATTCAGCATCTTTGGCGTGTCAGTTTCTTCCATAGGCTCCAGTTATGCCCACACAGGCACATTGGTGGACAAGATTGATGTCCAAGAGAGAAGAGGGTTTTCACCCTGTGTCCCTTTGGTGAGGGAGGACAGCCTTTTCCTCAACCCCCCAGTGGATGTCCTTGCAGACCCTTCAGCCAGGCTTGGGTCATCCATTCATCCCTAAAAGAGTCATTGCAATGAGTTTCCATGACAACCCAGACCATTCTCTGGGCTGAGAAGGGTGTTGCTTCGCCAGGATCCTCCACTAGTAAGAAGGAGCATGTGTGCTTATAACTGGGGCGATGGGGGGGAGGCAGAGAGAACATCTGTCATGGATGGAAGTGGTATCAGAGTAAAATCCAGATCAGAAAACCAGGATGGAAAAGACAATAGTGAGAAAAGGGCAGTGGGACATTCCTGCCCAGAAGGCAGTGGGGCCCCCAGTGTGCCACACGGAGGTACAGGAGCATGCAGAGGGAAGCCAGCAGAGGAACACCCCCCACTGAACTCCTGGAAAGGCAGGGCTCCTTTTCTTCTCTAGAGATAGTCTGGCCAAGCCTGACCTGTCCACTTTTGTCCTCACGGCTTTGGATGCCTAAGGGATTCTGGGCTTCTAGCGCAGGCAACAACCCCTTCTTTCTTCTACCCTGTCTCCAGGAAGGCCTCCCAGATGCTCCCCAGGTGAGTGGTCTCCCCAGCCTATGATACTGACCATGGCCTCAGGCACCACAGGGATTCCTGGGCTGAGGCGAAGGCGGCCTGAATGTCCAATTGACCCGAGGACAAGACAGGTGCTGGAGATGTGGATGGTCCCCAGAGCTCTGCTGGGGGAACTGAGCAGCTAGTCCTGCTGCTCAGAAAGGTCTTAGAGCTGGTAGGTGGCTGCTAAGTATGAGGGTCCTTTATGGCCACCTTGGCAGCCCAGGTAGGGAGCACTCTGCTCTAGAACGTCCCAGGTGACCGTGTGGGGACACCCTTGGGTCCCTGTGCCCTCCATGCTGCCTGACCCCATGCTAAATAATGTTTTTCTCAAGGGGACTCTGGGAAAGGAGGAAGGAGAATGAAAGGCCCCACTGATAGGACATGAAGGTCAAGCTGCACGGTGAATCCATGAGTGCTGGTTTCCAGCCCAGCCTTGGCTGGGACTTGAAGTGGCTGCAACCTTTGTTCAGGACACTGGAGTATGATCTGTAGTCTGGTGGTCCAGCAGGGCTCAATGGCTGCATTCAGGCTCTGAGCAGGAGCAAGAGAAAAGGCAGGGTGGAAGAGATGAGCTGAGGAGCCCTGGCTGGGCCTGGGCGCCTGGCACATCCTGAGATGGGGAGATGAAGTCCAGGCTGGGTAGACCCCCATCCCTTCCTGCTCTGAGCAGAAACTGACTGCCCACAGGTCCTAGTCCGACGACTCGCCAATGGCACGGAGCTCCGAGGCCGCATTGTGGAGACTGAGGCCTACTTGGGGCCAGAGGATGAAGCCTCCCACTCAAGGGGTGGCCGGCAGACTCCCCGCAACCGAGGCATGTTCATGAAGCCAGGGACCCTGTATGTATACATCATCTATGGCATGTACTTCTGCATGAACGTCTCCAGCCAGGGTGAGTGGTGCTGGGACACAGGTTGGGGAGGCAGGAGGGCTGGCAGAGCCCCCTCAGCTAGCAGCCAGGGGACCCCCCAGAGGAGCAAGAATGTACCATTGCCACAGCCAAGTCAGAGTTTCCGGAGCTCTGACTGCATTGGCAGAGCAAGACTGACTAGAGGGGTTGAATAGAGGCCCACAGAATAGGGGCCCCACAGAATGAAGGCCCTGGGGTGGCCCCTGAATGCAGAGCAGGTAAGTTCCAGGTGGCCACCGCTGGTTCCAGAACTTGGAGTTGGTGCCAAGAGTCTCCTGTCAGGCAGGAGCCTTGCCAGGCAGCCTGTTATGGGGTCTGCATGTCTCAACGGGGGGCAATTCTGCCCTCCAGGAGACGTGAGGCAATGTCTGGAGACATGCTTGATCACCCCAGCTGGGAGGTGCTGCTAGCATTGAGTGGTAGAGGCCAGGAATGCTGCTGCAAACCCTGCAAGGTACAGGACCACTCCCACCACAGAGCTCCTGGGAGAGCCCATTCGCCTCTGGGGCAGGCTCTGTCCTTGGTGAGCATGTGGCTCTGTGTTCCAGGTGATCTGTGTTGGCGAGGAAGAGGCCAGGCGGGCCCCGACACCATAGCACCACCCTGCCACTGCTAACCAGGAGCAGGGTCTTCCAGCTGGTCCCAGCATCTGTTTGCTGAACCTTCCCTGCCTGTCCCAAGATGAGCAGTTGCTTGGGGCCAGTACAGGGCTGGAAGCCTGCCACACTGTAGGTCACATTTGTTGAATGAGTAGTGATGTGTGAGCTGTGACCACCCAGAGCAGGCAGCTAGGGGTGTCTAGCTCAAGACCCATGGGGACTGGCATATTCAGGGACCCCGTGACAGGCCCTGTGCTGGTGTTGAGTGAAGCTGAGTGACTGGGCATCACAAGACAGTGAGGCCCCCTTCTGGTACCCCTGGAATGCTTGGTCACGGAGCTTTTTGTTGGTAGTGGAAACATCCCCCTCAAGTGAGGCAAAACTGAACTCAGAGAGACCAAGTGCAGAAATGCTTGGTGCTGTGGTGGAGGGGGGGGGACCTGGGCTTCTAGGGTGTGGTAAACTAGGCAGAGACAGGAATGTGAGCTATAATTCCTAGACACATGACCAAGATACCCCCAGGAAAGCCCAGATCTGGAGGGCAGGGCCCCGCACAGGTATGGTGGTCAGGGCAGAGTCATCCAAGTGGAGTGGAGGCAGAAGGCAGGCTAAGGACATAGCTGTGGCCTGGCATTGAAGTGAGGGCAGCCCACGGAGATGAGGAGCTGGTTGGGGAAGGGGATGAGGTCACAGGGCCAAAAGCAGAATGGTGAGGTGGCCAGAGCCAGAAGAGTTGACCCTCCGGGGGGAGGGTCAGGGTGGACAGAAGGGTAGGGGTGAGGATGTCGTTGGGCAGATCAGAGGGGTCATGTTTTCATGTGAGGATGCAGAACCTGGATGCATTCTGCACAAAGGAGAAGGCAGGCAGGAGAAGGGGGTGTGGTGACAAGGGCAGCTAGGCTCTGACTCATTTGCAGGCAGCCCTGGCGACTCAGTGAGACAGTGGTGGGAGGCCGTGTCCTGCATTCACAGGGAAATAGGGAGTCCTGATTCTTCCTACTGAGGGCACAGAGGGTGCTCCTCCTGGGCTTTGCTTGACCTTGCTTGTATCTTGAAATACTTTGAAAACTGGCAGGCTAAGAAATGTCTACTTACTAGAACTTTCCTGGGCTGCTAGCCATGCTGGAAGGCATGGCTTTGTCTGCGAGCCTCAGGGTGCTGCTGTGGAGGCCCCAATGGCCAAGGCCCAAGAGTGGGGACTGGCTTGGCTACCCTTGGCTGAGCCTGGCTCCCAGGTGGCTGCACAGACAGCCGGAGCAGGTGTCTCAGGAAAGCAGGAACCTAGGAACCCAAGGGTCCTTCTCAGACAGAGCTGAGGGAGTTAGGACATCTGTGTCCTCTTACGTGAGCCCCTGGTCCCAGGAGCATCAGTTGGCATCTCTGGCTTCTGAAGCAGCCTGGACTGGCAAGGAGAGTACTGGGCTGGAGGAGGGATGCCAAAAAGGAGCTGAGGGGCTTCACTGGCACCTCCTCCTGCCTGCCTGTGGAGGGTCTTACAGTCAGGCTTTCCACTGAGTCACCGGATGGGCTCTCCCAGTGCTCTGTGCACAGTGGCAGCTGCTCCAAGCCAACCCCTTGCTTGCCTTGCATGGATGCTGAGTGAGGCAGATGGAGAGCCCTGGAGCCCAGCTAGGGATCTGGGCTAGGGCAAGGCATCCTGCTTCCTGGCAGAGTGACCCTGCCCAGGGAGAACTGCCTCTCTAGGGCTTCCTTCACTGGCCTTATAGTTGCTGCCAATCAGAAGATCAGGGAAAGCCAGGGAGAGAAGAGCTGAGGTCCAGCACTCACCACGTGATTTTATAGGGTATCCCTAGCTAGTTCTAAGGACAGCCACAATAGGGGCCAGCCAGGGGCAAGGCAGAGGTCCTGCCTGGTGGGGGCAACCAGAGGCGCCCACAGAACGCAGAGCTTCCTCATGGGTGTAGGCATGGAAGAGGGGGAAGTAGGCAGCCCCCTCCACCCCCCCAGTTCCAGAAGGCACAAGCTCAGGTATGTAAAGCATGGTCCCTGTCCCACAGGGAGACAGTCACACTCTCCCCATGACACTGGGTGTCTGGAAGTGCACTGGGGCAAAGAGGGCAGAGCCTGGGGAGGCTCTGCTACCATGCTGTCCGTCTGTCCCACAGGGGATGGGGCTTGCGTCCTGCTGCGAGCACTGGAGCCCCTGGGGGGGCTGGAGACCATGCGGCAGCTTCGCAGCACCCTCCGGAAAGGCACTGCAAGCCGTGCCCTCAAGGACCGTGAGCTCTGCAGTGGCCCCTCCAAGCTGTGCCAGGCCCTGGCCATCGACAAAAGCTTCGATCAGAGGGACCTTGCCCAGGATGAGGCCATGTGGCTGGAACGTGGCTCCCTGGGGCTCAGTGGGGCAGCTGTGGTGGCAGCAGCCCGGGTGGGCATTGGTAGTGCAGGGGAGTGGGTCCAGAAGCCCCTGCGCTTTTATGTCCGAGGCAGCCCCTGGGTCAGTGTGGTGGACAGAAAGGCTGAGCAAGGCACACAGGCCTGAGTAAAGGGCCTGCTCAGACAAAGCTTTTTAATTGTTCAAAAATCAAATAAATGCTTTATTTCTAGAAAACTGTTGTTTGCATTTCAGCCAGAGGCCCTCTGGGTAGTCAGTGTGTGTCTTTCCCCAGAACAGAAAGGCTGAGGACTTTGTGTGTGCAATGCCAGGCCTACTGTGGACACTAGGGGGAGTTGCCAGTATGTGTACAGACAGCCCCTGAGGGTGGGGGTCCTGCACAGCAGGTCACATCTCCATCAGCCACAGAATGTGCACAGGTGACAGGGTTGCCCCAGTCCAGTGGGGCCAGCTTAGGCCCTTGCACTTCAGATGGTCAGGTGACAACTTGGCTACACATCTGGTAGCTTTTGTGGACCATGGCAAGGGCCAGGCCGGGAAAGGTTCATAGTGAGCCAAGAGAGCATGGTGGACAGAGCTGGTGCTTGGTGAGAAGGCCACATGGGACCTCAAAGTGGATGGTTGTCAGAGGGGTGGGGACGGGCCAATCACATTTCTGCACATTCCTTGGGATGACCACACAGAGTGGGGGACCAGGGACCACAAGCAGGCGGGAAGAAGGTCTAAGAAGCGTACCGCCCAGTGCACATGGAAGACATGGGACTCTCCCAGAGACTGGAGACCTATAGGGTTCCCTCCAGCTCAGCAATACTGTGGCATTCTGTGAGGACTAGAGGGAAGAAGAACCCTGAGGGTGGCCACCTCAGATCTGCTGCTGAGCCAGACTTAACCTACTGTAGCCAGGCCAGGGGGCTCTGCAGGCCTTTAATCAGGCTGAGGCTGGCATCCACCCAGTGCCAGGCCTCAGAGCTAAAAGGGCTCAGGCCCAGCAAGGAGGGACCCTGGAGTGGGGAGACACTGGTACCCACCCACACACCCCAGCAGCCTCTCCATCCTGCACCTGTGCTCAGGTGAGCAGTGCCTGGAAGACAGCGATAATGGGGTCTTCGTGGGTGGTCACCACCAGCACACTGCGGAACTTGTCGAAGAGCATGAGCAGCTGGGAGCGTCGCGTGTTCTCGTTGTACATGATCTCCTCCAGGTGGTGGCGACCACGGAAGTAGTGAAGGAGCCTGAGGGGATTGGCATGAGCCCAGCCTGAGGCTGTCCCTTCCTCCCCCCCCCCCCCCCCCCCCCCCCCCC